TCATATACCGTACGCTCACTGATGCATAGTAATAATAGCGTACACACTGGCACACAGTGAAAGTATAATACAGCGCAGGGGTAATAATTTAGTTCGTTCACATGCAGTGACATAACATTAACAACTACCATTGGTGTTCAACAGCATCAGCACGTTAGCAACGTTCAGCAAAGTGGAAGTGAATTTGCGAAGCTTAATCAGTTGTTTGACTCGTAGCCAAACACAAACTCGGTGGCTGTGTTTTTGTCTCATTAATGTTCATTAAGTAACCACAGGAGTTAAAGGTGGCTTCACACAAACTTCACACACGTCTCGACTGCACCACCAGCAGTGTGTGCGTGTGTGTGTTGCTTCCAGTGTGTGTGTGTGTGTGTGTTGCTTCGGTATGGTGTTGTTTTTTTTTTTATGACTAGTAACTGTGTTAAAGATGCAAACTGTTTCGTTTTGAAAGAGCTTTCTCGAACTAAAGTCTGCAACCTGTGGCTCCTGAGCCCCATGTGACCCACCATTGATTTTTTCGTCAACATTCAAAGACGCACTGCTGAAAGGAGTCAAAGGCAAATGTTTCCCTGCCGTGCGGACATTTTGAACGCCGTTGTACAGACGGAAATGAGCACGTCTTCCCGTCAAAGCCAGTCAACACAGCAGACGCTGACATTATGAACCAGGATCAAACCGTCTGTACTCACGTCTGCGCAATTAGAAAAGAGAGAAAAGGTTACAGACACAGCAGTAAACTGCTAATGGACCCTGTAATGATTCGCATCTGACTTTGGGCTATGAGGCAGTTATTGCACTGGGAGGGGGGAAATGAAGCCCACGTGTCTGAGGGATGGGAGAAGGCTGGGTGATATACAGTACAGAGGTATGTACACACAGAGAACAAACACAAAACACACACTCCTAAAACTAAACACACACACACTTGGCCATCCCATGCATTTCTTGATTTATAAAGCTCCGTTCAATCACTTCCATTCCCTTTACATCCATAAAGTGAGACCAAACGGCTACAACAGTCGGCTGGGGAATTCATCGGGTAATGAACTGAGACCAAGGAAAAAAAAAAAGAAGAATGAAGGATAAAGAAAAGCCTTAATAGTAGATATGTGAATTAAAAAAAAAAAAACCTTGTCAAATATAATGACATTGACATGACAACATATGCCGGTGGTTCTCAAAGTAGGGAGCGGGCCCCAATTAGGGGCATAAAGCTTTTGTGGTGAAAATTAAAATAATTAAAATTTTCTTTATTTGTCATGGTGGGAAAACTGCACTATTTTTTTTTTTTTATTTGGTCAACAAAAATAGCAGTTGAAATGTGAAATACAGTGTTTTAAATCAGGTTCTGATGTAATTTGAAGCAATAGTTGACTATGTGAATGTCTCGATGTCTCCAAGTCGGGATGAAAACGTCTTCACCACATAATTAAATGTGGAGCATCACGTTGACTCTGGTCTTTAAACAGATCAGTGTCTTATTTTGTCACTGTTATGAACTGAATGTCAACAGAAGCTGTTTCTCTGAGCGTTCCCTGGTGAATGTAGGCAATTAAAGAACTTTGTGTTGGAACCAGGCTCCTTTTATTCATGTAAAGGCGGAATCTTTTGATTGTAACCTGACTGACATCTGTAAATTATAACAGCAGTTATCCAAATAATTTAAATAACTGTGAGTATAAATTAATCCTTTATAGCTTTACAGGCTATGTAGTGTGGGTTGGGAGATTTGGGAAAGGGTGCCCCCCCCCCCCCCCACACACACACACACACCCTGGTAAAGCTGCTAAATGACAAGTAATTTATTTCCAGTCACATAAGGACTTAAAAGGTGACTCAAATTAATCGCCTGTCAACTCAACACCCACAGGTTCTGTCACTGCAGCTGCCTGTGAGAGCACAAAGTTAGGCACTGAATTATTAGCAAATTAAATAAACTATTTTCACAGAGGGCAAACAACAACAACAAAAAAGCCTTCTTAACAAACAAGCTTTATTGAATACGACTACTGCAGTACTATTATTACTGCTGTGTACAAAATGGAAAATATTTTCACGAAAATAAAGAAATAACATGCCAAGGTCAAAGTATTTTTAATCGTCCTGATCATAAAATTCAATCGTTTTTGATCCTCCATCTTCTGACATAGGCTTTGAACCCAAAGAACACAGGCCCCGTTGTGAAACACTGATGTTGGTCTCCAGCAGGGGCATCGAACTCATTTCAGTTCAGGGGCCACGTAGAACTTAATTAGATGTGAAGTGGGCTGGGACATTAAAATTATAACATAAATAAATATATATATATATGTATATATAATAAGTCCATATTATCCCCTTTGTTTATATGCAAAGATGTACAAATATATTAGATATTTATTATTTTTTAATGAAATATCATTTTACAAAAATAAAACGAAAATAACATGGACATGCGTATTTTTTTCCCCAAAATTCATCAAGGCCAGATTGAACACCCGTGCGGGCCGGTTTTGGCACATGGGCCATATGTTCGCCCCCCCCCCCCCGGTCAAATTAATATCATCTCAATTGTTTGTTGTTTCAAATTAAAACCATTCTCAGAACTACATAAAAACTGAATCAGTCCAACATTAGTGTTTCACCACGGGGACGGTGCTCTTTGGGTTCAAGGCCTCTCCCTGTTTCTTTGAACATTAGATAAACACGAACAGTAAAGATTTCACCATATAGATTAGACAGACTCCCCAGAAAACTAAAACTTGAAGAAATGTTAAATAATTACATGTACAAACACCTGAAATTAAAAAAAACAAGATGTTTTCTCAACCAAAACATATCATAGTACATATAGTAACCACACACACACACACACACACTTTCACACCTCCTCTATGACTCAAAGTGTTACAACCACGTTGACACAACTGCTGGGAAATGAATGAAAAAAAAATGAAGGAGTTGAGGATTTAATTGATTCAATTTAAAACTTAAAATAAAACAAAATTGTCTTATGGAGATCAAATAATTAAAATTCAAAAACAAGCCGATGTGATGTGCACCTCTGTGTCTGTGTGAATGAAGGCGGGCTGACCATTAACGTCTAAAAATACAACCTTTTTGGATTATTGAGGAGGGCACAGATGCAGCACGGAGCAGCATCTCTGTGAAACTCCGCTCCATCAGAATGAAGAGCAGCAATAACTCCACTGAGCTGCAAATGCATTCCTGTCCTTGTAGTCCATTTTTTTTTTTTTTTTTTCAAACATCCCTGTGATTACAACGTCTGGTGATGTGAGTTCAGGGAGCCAGCACTTTGTCACTGAGCAGTACAGTAAGTATTGGACGTGAGTGGCAGCAGTGTTTAAGTAGGCGTTCTATACAAATCCCCCCTTCCTTCAGCGGTGCCTTATCAATATGCTGCCTATAAATTAATGCAAGGAAATCTAGAACAAAACATGGTGTTGGTGATCAACTGACTGGGACGACGAGCAGGTCGGGGTCGGGGCTAAACAGCCAGTGAACCTGTTCGTTTTGGCATCAGCGATAAAAAATGACGGCTCCTTGATTCATTCGCAGTCAATAATCATCCATTCATGCAGTGACAAGTTTCAATGCATAATTAACCCCAGTGGGGGGAATTTACAATAACTGCTCTCAAGGTATTATGTAACATGTTTATAGACAGATAGATTAGATAGATAAAAGTCAGCAGAGTTGTCCAAATAGAAATCACAACTCATCGAATGCCATCTCTTGTCCAGCCATGGGCAGTTCTACTCTCATTCAGCGTTGCCAACACTGAGCCTGAGCGCAGTCTGACACACTGACTGAAGCTCATCCACCCACATGGACTACAGTCAACACAGAATGTAGAATATTTTATGACGGTCCACAACAGCCAGAGTCAGAGTGTCTAGGGAAGTCCAACCTGACATCCTGTGGTGGAGTTCACCTTGTGCTAAGAGTGTGCTCCCACATTTTTTTTTTCTGCTTGAAAAATGCTCCTCACACTAATCTACTTTGCATGTTATAAATGGATGTTCTAGAATCACAGCCAAGTGAAAGAGCGGTGAGCATAATTCATTAGCACAGCAAAAGTAAAGCTCAGATGCTAATTAGTCAAATGTGCATTTGGGAAGTCAGTATTGTCCAGATATGAAAAAAAAATTTAATAAATATTTATCCTAAAAGTGTGATTTTACTGCAAAATCAAGTCACAGCTGCAGCCACTGCTGTTACATTTGCAGCATTTATTTCACAAATCCAAAAACTATTTTTTAATTTTCTCTTAAAAAAAAGCCCAAATGCATTAAATGCAGATCCTTTCACAACGTGCCAGTTGCCCATTGATGCATTTAAAAAAGCCTTACCTTTTTCAGAGCTGACATTCTACGTGGATCCTCCTCCTGCAAAGCCCGTTCACATGCTGAGGTCCCGAGCCAAGTTTCGAGGGTGCGCAGATCTCCACTCAGCCCGGTGCTGATGCTGAGCCATGAGGTGCTGTTTGGTATTCTCATCTCGCCTCCACCCCATCCTTCATCAGGCGCTGTGTGCGCACGCTCAAACCCCACTGTTGTTGCAGGAACCAAACGCATGGGGAGCTCTAACCTGACGCAATAAAAACACATCACACACAAAACTGTCAAGATTCAAATGAATTGTCACTTAGATTTAGGACGTGAAACTTTTGCTTACTTGACTTAAGGTGTTCGGATAAGTGTTAAAATATATTTCGGCTGATCGTTTAAATGTGATAAATAAATCGCAGACAAAAGAAATGTAACATATCATTTATTTTCAATATATGCAGGTTGGCCAGTTACTGTATGTAAGTTACTGTATGTTTTGTTTACCATTTTAGAGAAGTTGCTTTTGTATGCCGAATGTAAAAGTGGAGCTTTACCTTCCGGAAATCAAACGGTTCATAGCCCAAAAGGCACGTGTAAATAAAGACAAGTCAAGTTGACATTAAAATATCGTCATTTTAAAACGGGTATCAGTACAGTACAGGCAAAGTGGTGCGGTTGTAACACTGCAGACGCTCCCTAAGTGATGGAGCAGCCACATGAGTCTCACCACAGCTTTGTATTTTGTTTTAAGTAGATTATTATTATTATTATTTTACTGCCTTCATATTATTCATAAACTGTAAAACCGTTGCGTAACGGAGTGACTGTCCGACATGAGATTAGCTGGGGTTAAACGAACAGGGGTTAATTTAAGAGAGCTAACCAGTTGGCTAGCTAGTTAGCAGATACGCTGCTGTATCTGTATGGACTGCCTTCGTTTTGCTTCGTTTTCTATTACAACCGGTCGAAACGTGTTGACATGGCTCTCAGGGAGCAAGGTAAGTGTTGCGACCGTCTTCCACTGCATGGACGTAACCCTCAGTGTGTACAGTCTGTCAGTGTTTTTGGCGTTAGCCGGCTAAGGTAGCTAGCCATGGGGCTGCTAGCGTTAAGTCTGTGACATTAAACTGTAAACAGAAGCACGTGTCGCTTCAGTCGGTTGTAAACGAGACGCTTTTCTGTGTGATACCTGCCTAGTGATGTTTAACAAATTGTTTTTTCAAAACTCTGAACGAGTTGAACATAAACTGTTGAGCGTAGCTGAACAACAACGTGTCCTCCAGTCAAACAAACCAAGGTTCACGTGTGTAAAATGACAAGAAAATGTTGTACGAATTGTTTTATAACGTGTTTGTGGAATGTAATAATCCCGAGAAAGGACATTAAAAATGTAGAAGTTTTAAAGGAACGCTGTGCTGTTGGAATAAATAGGATTTAATTAGTTGTATTTTTGCATATTTTAATTTGATAGTGACGTATTAAAATCTTATGTCATAAGTGAAATACCGGACTCCCAATGCACCCAACTGTGATAATTTCAATGTATTGCTGTCAGTAAGCTTTTATAAATCCAAAAATGTACCTTTAGAGTGCATCTTTTTAATAATTAAATTCAAACGTTCATCTTTAGTGTTGTGATTCCTCCTCTGAGATCCACAGTCTTTCACCTCATCATGCTCCTGATGTCAAACACCTGTGCAGCTAACCTATTAGCATATCAGCCAAAAACTACAAGCTGGAGCCAACAAACATGTCGTCAGTCTCTGAATGTTTACACTGTGGTGAGGGGTAAAAGACAATTGTACAACTGAGCTAATTTATAATAAGAAAGAAATGAAATCTTTCGTTGATATTAAAATATTATTCATGATGGCAGCATTGCAGGTTGTTTTAGTTGGTTCCATAGTGTATTGGGTAGCACGCCTGCCTTGAAAGCAGAGAGTTCTGGGTTCAATTCCCAGATGAACTGCTTGCTAGTGCCAGCCTGTTAATAGAATATTAAAAACAAAAAATTGATATCAGACATCCCTAGTTGATACTTTGCAAGCTTGACAACAGCTTTTTTCTTTTTTTCTTTCTTTTTTCTTCTTTCCTTGTGTTTGTGAGGCAGTGTTCAAGTCGAAACTCTTGCAGAAGCTTTATCCACCTGCTCCAACACCACAGAAAGAACCAAGCCCACCTCACATCACAGAGGCATTAGCCAAAAAGACCTGTGTCAGAAGAAAGGTCCCTCAAGATGCCACAGCTGCAGGTGAGACAGAAGCATCGACGCTTCCAAAACAACTTTATGATCCTTCAACTCTTTACACTGTCTCCATATTTTATCCAAAAAAAAAAAGCACATACAGTACAGTTACCATCCTGCGTGTTGAAGTGTAACCACTTTTCATCGTTTGTCTCAGCAGGAGGTGCACAGATCGCAGCTGTTCCCCGTGGACGAATATACACGGTCCTACCTCCTCCTGCTGATTACAAAAAACATTTGGAAAATTCAGTCACACTCCCTCAACTAGAAAGCATAAATAGTGCCAACAACCCAGCTGGTAAGACAACCATAATTTCCCATTCGCAGCGTTGTGCTATGCACCATAAAACCAGGAGGAATTTATGTCATGAGTTTTCTCCAGGTTGGCTTCCTGTACTTGAGTCGCTCTCTCTGATTGTTGCTGCCATTCTAGTTAAGAGAAACAGACGGCGGTAATCAATTGTGTTTCTGGAGTGAGGAGAATTTGGACGCGGTGCAGATGGTGTTTAAGCCTGGGTGGTTATATTCTTCACGTTAAACACTATTAAACGGCCTCTTCTGTCGGATTTAGCTTAGCTAGTAGATACTTAGCCTCCGTTGACGCAGCCATTTGCAAAGATGAATTGGGAGCCAATGTTGATGCTGAGAGTTAAAAATGTTCTTGACCTGTGGTGAGTGGAGCTGGCTGGTGGTGTGATGCGGAGGCGACGTCACACTTGGCAGCTGCTGAGCATAATTTAAAGACTCTCCATTCTGGCCCCAACTCACGTTTCTTTTCTGACTATGTCCATTAATGTAGACGTCCCAGTGACGTGCACAGACATTAAGGGGGGGGGGCAGGAGAAATTTAAGGACACTTTGTGTGGGATGTGGAACCACTGGACCATTGATTGTTAAAAAACAAATAAAAAAAAAACAACTAACTTTTAAAAAGGACACTTCCTTGGTCCAGAGGGCATGTGCTACGGCACCACCCTGTGTCTATCTGTGCACACAACTGCGAGCTCCTGTTCAGCCAACAGGTGGAGCTCCCCCAGTGCTTTAATAAAACTGAAGGTGATTTGCTGTCCACGGCAGTGCAGGAACCAAAGTTGTCAACTGGAATAAGTGATGAGGTTCAGTGATCAGTCGCACTCAGCAGCTGAACAGACCTTCATCGAAGATATTTCTGAATTAGTGGGTAGTGGGCCATGATGGATATTGTTATCCAGAGTCTCTTAACTGTCTTATTGACTTGGGTTTTTAAAAGTGCCAAGAACAGCTCAGCAGTAAATAGTTGATGGTATACTCCAGTGAATGTGTTCCGAGTTATTACAACAGACTCCACTATAGTATGGATTTACTATTTTTTATTTCCCTGCGATGTTTACACCTTCCCTATCTACCATTTCACTGCGTGAAATGCCTATTTTAAATAAAGTGTTGACAATAATGTCAGTCTGATGGAGATTTATAAAAATCCATCTTTATCTCTGGGTTGCCCTAACTGGGCTGTAAGGCAGCAGTTTGAGAAATAAATGGATTTCATGGACATTTTAAGGTATTTATTGCCTTTTCTAAAAGTGTGTTTAAAGATAGTGAGCACCAAAGATATACTACAGCAGTACTTGGTACAACATTTATCTCACAGCGGAGTGTTATATTGATCACAGTTTGGTAATTTGATGACCCCCGGTACTGACAGCAAGATTAATTTCTCTTTCACATTTTAGAAAATAAATGACTGCTGAAAACACAAAGTGCTGTACTGGACCTGATTCATGATTTTCGTTTATCGCGCTGCCACTTTGTTAGCTGCTAATGTTCTGGTTACCAGCCAGTCCGGTGCTTAGGTGAAAAAGAACCGCAAAGAGCGGTGGTTCCTCTGACCTCACACTGACTCCTCGGGTCGTTAAGGAAGGAGAGAAGTGTGACGAGTCACATCCTGGTCTACTTTAACATCATTTGTGCTGCATGTCTTAACAGTCGAGACCAAAAATAGGCCTGTGTGGGTTTAATTTTTTTATTAAAAAAGACAAAGGAGTTTGGTTCTTTTTTTCCAACCTTTGAGGAAAAAAATGTATAAATTTATTTCTTTCTATGAAAGTTACGCTTACGGTGAGGCCTGTAACAGAGCCTTGAGGGACACCATTGCAAACTACAGTCCAGATTCTGTGACCTTGTTCAGGGAAACCCAGATGCTATCGGTGGAAGTAGTAAAATCACTGTTGGCAGTGCAGAGCCCGGATAGCTCAGTCGGTAGAGCATCAGACTTTTAATCTGAGGGTCCAGGGTTCAAGTCCCTGTTCGGGCGGTACCTTTTAACAGTTCCCAAAGTGTGGTATCAATATATTATGTTAGACTGAACTTTATTGATCCCACACTGAGGAAATTGTTGAGTAATAAAGTTAATAACAAACTTTAATTTAATCTAATCTAATCTAGAGCAGTAATAAACTGTACTCTCTGTATCAAGTAATTTGTACAAAAAAACATTCAGAGGCATTAAATGGATGCCTGATGTCATTTATTTTTTAATTGCAGTAGTGATACTGCTGTGTTTATTTTATTATAATTATTTGATATATTATTTAGGAAATAAAGACAGTAAAATAGCCTCAATTAAACAGAGATCTAAGAAAATACAAAGGGATTCTCAGGCATTGTGTACGACACCATCCTCAGCATTTTGGACATTTTTGTAAACTGAACACATCAGACAAGTCTGTCCTTTTATCATTTAAGAATAAAATAATATGCTAGTCATGTGCTTCAGACCTTTTAGTATTTAGGGCTTTCGAAAGAGGACTGAAATTGATACCAACCCAGAGTTGTTTTATTTTTTGTTTTGTTTTTTTTTGTCCTCAGAAGAGAACGCGCTTGAAAGTAATGAAAAACTGGGACAAGACAAAGAGCCTGAAGAAAAGAAAAGGAAAAAGAGGAAAAGGAAAGAGAAAGCAGCTCCTCAACAACAAGCCTCAAAGACAGATGACGCATCTGGAGGCGGCGGGTCGGGTGCCACTCAGAGTGAAACCGCGGCTGTGGTTGACGGAGGAGAACATATTAGCAGGAACAAGAAGAGAAAGCTGAAGAAGAAACGTCACAAGGAGAAGCTGCGCTCCATGGGTGTGATGCCCAAAGCTGCCGCCCTGGTGTTCACTTACCAAAAAGACGGAGCGCAAGAAGATGAGAGAGCTGCTGAGGTGACGGACTTTCTCAGAGGAACACTGAAAGTCTACATGTCAGACAGTGAGTACTGGGCAGAGGCCGACTCCTTACATGTGTTACTGCCACAGTCCACAAATGTTTTTCTGTTTGTTACTTTACAATGAGCTCTGCTAATTATTCTCAAGGTCAAGGTCAAGGTCAGCTTTATTGTCAATACCTTCACATGTACAGAACATACAGAGGTATCGAAATTACGTTCCTCGCCTTCCCGTGCGCTGACAGACATAGACAATACTGAACGAAAAACATTAAGGTGCAATAACAATAAGGTGCATGTGTAGCTTTAAGGTGCTGTATGGTCTGTAAAAATATATACATGAGGTACATAATAAATATAGTAATAATATAATTAGCAGCAGATGAGGTGGTAATAGTGCATTGTATTACAAGTCAATAGTGCATTTATGGCATTTCAACAGTGCGGTGGATATGTAAAAGAGGCAAAGGTACAGGTGGATGGTGGTGAGTACGGAGGCAGACAGTGCAGTGAGGGGG